TTATACTTGTTCTGGAGAGAAAAATTAGTCATGAACTATACTGTGTGAATTCAAAATGAAACCCAGGCTATCTTTGTTTTTCTTAAGCTTGTACTTTAATACATCTGAGAATTAGAGATAATAGGAAGGATCTCCTTAATGATCTGATATTAATTTCCAGAGTATTACAATACAGAGATGTGTTTTGACCCTTTTTCTGACTTGTAACCAGGTATTAATTGCCATAGAAAATATAAAGTTAAATATTTTCTTTTACATTGAAGATATGGTTTTATTGCCATGCAGATAAATTCTGAAACCAAAATTATTATTTGGGGTAGATAATCTCATAATACTTAAAGAGTGATAGTCAAGTCTCTATTTCAGTGTAACTTATTTAGTTACATAAGGATATATTTTGTGCCTAAATCATCCTAGGGATTACATTGGTTCAAATGGATTTTTATGAATGCATTATTGAATTTTTTAATATTACCAGGATAAGCTTGATAACCCTGCTGTATATCTCAGACTAATACAATCACAACTATGCTCTACTTGGGAGCTTCAATTCTTTGTTTATTCACATGTGAGAATGAACCCAGACTACTTTCTGAGGAAAACCATAAGCCTGTCTATAGTATTCCAGAATTTTCTCAGCCCACTTCTGTGCATGTCTATTCTGACTTGTGTCCTGGTCTTACTCCTGAATTTCCCTAAGATACTATTAATTTTACATTCCATTTATTTGTATGTTAAAATTTTATATCTTGTCCTTAATTGGCAACATAGAGAATTCATGCCAAAGATTCTAGCCACAGAATATAACCTTGAGCTCTCTAATGTTACACTCTGATCAAAAGCTCAGTTATGAAAAATGATATTCTAGGATTACCAGAAGGCTATGCAGTCCATCATTTTCTCCATTAGTATTTCTTAAACTATATTCCATAGAATATTAATTCTGATACATATTAATATGTGTTTCGGGGAAAAGAAAAAAGTTTTTCAAAGTCAAATAAGTTTAGAAAACATTACAACAGCAGGAA